CCTATTGCATTTTCATAATCATTCACACAATCTATGCATGATTTACATGAGGATATTAGCAAAATAGTTGGGTATTTATTATGACAATTATGATACTAGACTTTCAATAAAAGGATAAAGTAATAATGCATTTAATTTCATAAAAGCTTCTTTCAAGAACCTATAATAAATTAATAAATCTAATAAAGAAAGGTCATTCCTAATATTTTCTAACCAAGTCTTTTTAGGAATCATTAAATCAATTTTCAATGTGTTGATTTAATATTATTTAATGAATCTGCCATCAATTCCTTAAATTATTCTCTCTTATTATCTCCTTTTAAATTTGCATTCAACATTTTATCAAACAAATACATACAACTTGTTCCTAAGACTATCTTAGAAGATGATATTATGTCCGCTAATCATGATGGATTCCAGAGATCTTATACGCTAATATGACCAACTTGTTTGAAATAAATCATGGATTACTTTGCATATTGCATTAAAATTTTATCCTAATTTTCTTGATGAATATTAAACTCATCCTGGTTGGTCAGATTTGGAGATCTACATGTATACTCAGTGAAAATGCTGACCAAATAAACATGTTGTACTTTATTTATTTATTTTTAATAAAATATGAATAAAATTTTTGAAATTAAAACTAAGAATATTATTTTTTATAAAATAAACATTTAATAATTTTAAAAAAAAATTATAATTATTTGAAAATTACATTTAATGAGTTTTAAATTTATAAATGACCAAAAATACCCTTATATTTAACACCATTAACTCCCAAAATTAGATGTTAGGACCACAAATGTCTCATTTTAAAGAATTGAGGTATCAAATTGATCTCTCAAAAGAGTTGGAGACTATTTTGATACCTCAAAAAGAGTTGAGGGATCATTTTGCTCATTTTTTCTTATTAAAATAGATATTAAAGGTAAGTGCATATCATTTTTTATACCTGTTTCTACTTGAATGTCTTCTTTCCTGCTTGTAGATGGAAGATCAGTGGATGTCTCAGTAAGTCGTTCATCCCTCCTTGGCATTAATATGTAAGTTTGCTGTTCCTTTCCACTTTCATTCTTCGGATTATCCCTTGAAACATACTGCGGATCAGAACATAAACGCATAGAAAGATTAGTCTAACAACAATATCACTACTCGGTATTTTGAACAAAACAAATCCAGATCAAAACCTACCACCAAGATAAAAATCAAAGAAATGCAAGGCAAGAGCTACAAACAAAAAAGTAAATTTAAAGTTGCTGAGTGCCAACATAGCTAGCACAACATAGTGAAAATATAAATGAAGTTGTTGAGTAAATCGGACTTCTATTTTTAGTCTAAGGAAAAGCTTAATTATCATCTTATAAAGCTGCTGTTTCAAATTATATAATGAAAAATCATGAATAATAATACCTTCAATGTGTTTAGATATACAATGACGATAGGTTAAGTTATTTAGTTATTGAGATCTTCATCCTGTTCTCATAGATAAGAGCAGCATTTTTAACTTTTGAATAAGTTTGTTTGACAACCTTCCAAATTAGTTATTAGGAACATGAGTGATCTACTGATTTCAAGTATCATTGTGTTCCATAATTACAATATAATCACGTAATCCTCTCATATCAGTGTGAACTTTTGTCTATTAGATTCAAAGGATGTCCAACAAGATGTGAATTTTTCATTTTCTTTCAAAAAGATCTTCACAATATGAGACAATTTTTACATAATTTCTTTCATTCAAGTGATACTGAGGTTTGTAGTAGCTGGAATTCTCCCTCGATGTGATTAGTCTATATTTCACCATTCATGATGGTTGACACTTTGGCAAAAAAAGTCGAAAAAATTGGATATGATAACGAGAATAAAGAATGAAAGAGACAAGAAAAGTAAAGGTTGCAAGATGTATGAGTGTCAATATTAGACACGACTTGAAAACCCAACCTGAATCCAACCCGAAAATTCCGGTGTTAGGTTCAACTCATTTGTCAAACGGGTCGGATTCGGGTTCAACAAATCGACCCGTTTCAAAAATCAGGTCGAGTTTGGGTTGACCCGAAAATCCGAGAATGATCCGGAACTGACCCGACCCTAACTCAGTAACACCCACTATACAAGAAATGACGAAATCGGAAATCGGAAATCCCAATTCCCGCCGGCACTCGTGAGTCAACCAGGCTAATGACCTCACCATGAACCTCTTCCGTTGTTCCGCAGCCCCGGAGTCCGATGCCAGTGCTCAGTTCGAATGAAGTCCTAACCCTAGGCTAGGCACTAGCTTCGTAGTCCAGCAAGTCTGCACTTCGACGACATTCCTTCCTTCCTCTTCTCCGGCTTTTCCTCTTCTCCGACTTCGATGATGTTCCTAATTTAAGATGATCCATAAACATCATCTACTATAATCAATTACCTTATCAGCAATTAAATCATGAGTTGCTAATATACTTTGTAAAAGCTGCATGTTTTACTAGCTACAATAACACAAATCATGCATACATATTAACGAAAGGAAACCAAAAAACTCTCATTTAAAACAAAGAACCAAACTCCTGTAAGCAAGAATTCAAATTTGGTGAAGATAAGAACAAGCCAGGCAAGATCATCGAAAAAGAACTGGAAATCCAAGTCAAAGCAGAGGGACTCTATCCTAAAGTGAGAAGCAAAGGATCTTCTACCGATTCCCTCTTCCCCTCCATCTCCTTCTCCAAGTCCAATCCAGATGCGCCGCTGCTCTCCAGAGTTATCTAGAAGTCGTTGGCGTCTTTTCCGGTCAGCTTCTGCACCTTCCAGCCTTCCGCAAGTTCACCTTGAGAGGGTGAGGCCTTGGGCCATGAAGACTTCTGCCAGCGGACGATGGCATGTTTTTCTTTTATTCTCTCTTTTTCTCTGTGAGTGGGTGAACGGAATTTCCTTCATGTCCTGCAGCTTCGACGAGACAATTCACCTTCCTCCCATTCGCACGCTTCTTTGGCCATAACCCATTTCATGTCGGGACGGGTCAACCCGAAAATCTGACGGGTCGGGTCCGAATTGAATTTTATGACATGTTTGCAAAAATGAGTTGGGTTCGGATCGTGTCAAATAATGTTGGGTCAGTTCCGGATTCGACCCGAACCCAACCCGCAACCTGATTTTGACACCTCTAGCAAGGAGGACCCTAACGTTCCCTAATAACATATAGAAAATAACTGACTATAAAGCCTCATTTGTTTATTCCTCCAAGGTAATGATACGCTAAATTACATTGAAAAATAATTTTAAACTGTGCAATCGTAGATAACAAGCTAATTACAATAAATCTGGAATTAATGATTGTTTGCCCAGAATCCTTATGTGCTTGCAGCTACTATTCGCCACCTTCTCTTGCAATCCATGGCTTCTATTACAGCAATCTATGGCCGCCACTTTCTTTATGCATGGCAATTCATGGCACACCTATTTCCAACTTTAGCGCATGCAGCGATCCACAGCATCCGGCAAGCCGAAATAATGGCAATAGGCAGTAATTAGCTCAGGCAAAACCTCCGACAATTAAAACCTCCGACAGTATTTTCCAGCACAAACAAAACACAAAAAGAAACAAAAGGCTACGAAATTACATATGTATAAAAAATTCTCAAAAAATTAAGTGCGTACCATTAAGTTGGGACCTCTTCTCTTATCAGAACCACGTTTGGAATACGGGCTAGAACTGTTACCAGCAATTACAGCTCTTCTGCTTGATTTTCCATTACCGGGCATTCTCTGCCACGAAAATATTATCACTAATTAAATGAATTTTGAGAATATTAAAAAAAAAAGTTTTAAAAACTTCATTTGTGATATGGTTATTAAACTTCAAGGAATGAATAAGCTGCAAAATGGAAAATATTAGCATCATAAGGAAAATAAAGTTCCTAAGAATATTTTTAAAAGACAGATGTTGAAGTATTTTTAGAGCTCACTGGTTTCATCCCCCTTTGTTCTTATGAAGGAAGATGAATGCAATACAAACGGATTAAAGTCAAAATATGTATATGGTGAAGGCCCTTTTAACATGAATCTTGGCCAACACTAAATTGCGCAACAGACGTTCATCTATGTTAACAATAATTAACAAATAGAAAAACACGGGTCATTTGATTCTTCCACTCCATAACAATATGAATGTCCTCCAACTAGCCCTTGCTTTGCAGATTTCCAAATCATTCAAACATTAAATTCTGAAAGAGAATATAAATTTGTATATAAATTATCTTAACAAAACCAACTTGTGATGATACCAAGGGAAAAACAATAATTCTCAACATATGCACGCAAAATCATCACTGGCTTTACTACTTCCATTACATGGCCAACCTTCAGCATAAGTACAAATCCCACATATTTTTCTAATGCCAATACAGCATGCACAGAAATGATGGATTACAAAATAGTTGAGAACACAGTGAAGCTTTACATCTGAAGAACACTGATGGCACTTAGTATCAAGAATAAATTTTGATCTTCTACTCTTCCTCTCATTCTCTTTTTCAGGAAGCACAATTACTCCTCAAATGACATCCCAAATATTTCCTTGGTGTCATCAAATAATTTAGTACCACTAAAGCAGCAATATTATTCTTCTTCTTGTGTTATTCAAATTTTTAAAAATATTTACTGTAGTGAGTATTTAAGTAGAAGCTCTTGCATTCTTTCGGCCCCATTGATTATTTTGCTATCTACCTTCTCTCTGTCTATGTGCTTCTAACTGTCTTCTTGCTATTAAAACCACAGGAAGTCTCAAAGATTAGTTGGTCAGTATTATTCTTTTCTGTACTTTGCTTTGTATGCTCGTGATCTTTCTCTTAAAAGACATCAATGAATTTGGAATACATTACAATCTTGGATAGTCCATTACGTGCTTTCTTCTCTCCATTTGTGCTATTGCTCAGTCCTCCTGCCTTTGAGCCAACACGAAGGTTCAAGAAAAAAAGTTTTTTATGCATTTTTAGATATCTTTTTTATGGATTTTTAATTTTTTTTTAACCTCTCCATAACTTTGTTACTCTGTTGGGCATCCTGGTTTCATTACCTTTATACCTTCTTCCTATAATTCCTCTATTTTTCTATGCTGTTGTCTCTACTTTATTCTTACTCTACAAGTCTGTTCCATACTCAAAGCTGTCAGCTATTTGATGGATATTTTCTAAATTGATTCTTGTAAAGTCATTCCATAAGCTTGCTTAATTATGCCATATATTAGCTGCTAGTTGAGTTATTTCACTTCCTCTGACTGGCAAGGAAAGGTTTGAGGGTTAACTTGTAATATTGTAGTTGCAATAGACAAATAATATATTAATACGCCTTGAATACCAAAAATCAACAAATAAGCAGTAAATTTCAGCAAACCTATAGAATTTTATTGATAAGAAAAGAAATACGAACAAGCAAGATACAATGGTCCTCTTTCGAGAGGAGGACCTCTCCCAAATTCGAGACACCGTTAGAATCCCTCAAAAAAACAATGGATAGCAAACAATTACAAAACTCATCAATAGCATGAACCTAAAACCCTAGACAACTCCCCCTTAAATAGCCCTAGAACACAATAACACAATTAGAACCTTCCTAATCAACATAAACATAATTTAGGAAACCTTTCTAAATAAATAGAATCTTCCTTATCAACATAAATATAATTTAGGAAAACTTTTTTTAAAATATAATTTAGGAAACCTTTATAAATAATTAAACATAATTTAAAATACCTTCCTAAACAATTAAACAAGATTTAGAAAATATTCATAAACAAATAAACAACTTATCCTTAATTCCACCTCCTCACATAATGAATAATAGCTTCCTTGAGTCCCACAAGGTAGTCCCCCCCCTGACGTATCAATACTCCCCTCCAAAAGAGCACATTATCCTCAAGGTGGAATAAAGTAAACTACTAATGAATAATACCTTTTCCAGTTGCAAAAGAAAATATGTGAGTTTGTAATCTTGAAATTCATTTCCTTGTTGGATCCACATGAAACAGTTGTAGCATGTTTGCTGCTTAAAATTCTATCAACTATTTGTTTATGTGAAACAATACAGACATTTTTCTTTCAATTTCTATTTTGTGAAGAATCTCTGAAAACTCATGTCAGCATAATAGTTATTGACTTAGTTTGGAGTTCTGACATTAACAAAATCTCCAGTGGTAGAAGAATGTTTTGTTATTTCATAAGAATATGGTTTGCCTTAAACCCCTTCACAGATTGGATAACTTTCTTTTGTTTTGCACTCAGCTTATCCACCAAGACTTTATGTGAACTTGAAGAATAAAAAGAATTAGTTGGTACATAATTTTTAATTTTCTGAAGTCGCTTCATTATCTTGGCTTATAAAGTCTTGATGCTTGCAGTCTTTAAGGCCATTTTTATTTTCTTTTGAGAGACTTGCAGGTGAATCAAGTTCCGCTAATGCAGTTTTACCATCAACATCCAAGGATACTTCAGTTGAATCTTTCTCTACACTAGAGAACCAATAGACTTTATCATTTAATCCCCATCAATCTTGCTTGGTACAACTCTCTAATCTTCTCTCAACGTATCATTTTCGTGATTTCCCCTTATTTCTAACGGAGTTGTCATAGCTTGATTCTTTAACATTTGTTTCATCATCTCCTTGAGATTTCCAAACCTTCCTTCAATCATTGAAAGGCGCTCATTCAACGATCTCATATCCGTTCGTAGCTGCCCTACTTCCCCCTCCAATCTTTCTTTCAATGCCTCAACTCTTTTCTCAGCCATCGGTCCTAAGAAATTGCCGTAATACCAATTTGATACGGCTTGAATACCAAAAATCAGCGAATAAGCAATAAATTTCAGCAAACCTACAAATTTTTATCGATAAGAAAAGAAATACGAACAAGCAAGATACAATGGTCCTCTTTCGAGAGGACCTTTTCTCCCAAATTCTAGATGCCACTAGAATCTCTCACGACCAAATTCTAGATGCCACTAGAATCTCTCACGAAAATAGTGGACAACAAACACTCGCAAAATTCATCAATAGCATGAATCTAAAACCCTAGACAACTCCCCCTTAAATAGCCCTAGAACACAAAAACATAATTAGAACCTTCCTAATCAGCATAAACATAATTTAGGAAACATTTCTAAATAAATAAAAACTTCCTAATCAACATAAACATAATTTAGAAAACCTTCCTAACTAAATAAGCATAATTTAGGAAACTTTCCTGAACAATTAAATATGATTTAAAAAAATTTTTTAAACAATTAAACATATTTTAGGAAACCTTCTAAATAATTAAACATAATTTAGAAAATCTTCCTAAACAATTAAACATGATTTAACAATATTTCTAAACAATTAAGCATCTTCTCCTTTATTCCCCCTGACGTATCATATATACATCGAACATAATAAATATAACATAGGATTAAACCTTAGCATAACGTTTTTTTTTACTATCTTCACAAGTGGCTGCAAGCTGTTTACATTGCCAGTGCATAGTGGTACGCTTACCTTCAACCACACAAAAAGCAAACTTAACTAGGCTCCTCTTGCACCACAAGGAAATTAGCACCCTCGCACAAATGCTATTGGCATTGCATATTAAAAACAATTTGTTGAAGTTTGGCTCATGAAAAAGCAAAATTTGTAAAATTAGGGCCCACACATTAAATATGACTTGAATTACTAGCAAAATCACCTGAAAATTTACCTGAGGCCCGCTCTTAGCTGCCCTTTTTTTCCTGATGAAATCCATCAAAGGAGTCACAATAGGAACCTCCTTAGCAGCACCTAAAAAGAATAAAAACCAATACAATTTATTACAAATAACTGAACAAAGATAATGTTGAAATACATATCCATGCGACAATGTACCAGCTCTTTCAGCTTCTCTCCTTTCAAGCTGAATCTCAGCACTAGGGAGATTCTCTGTAGGCTTTGTAAGAAGCTCGAGAAACTCCAAATATTCAGGATCTGGATACCCATCAAAAAACTGTTTCTAAGACAACAGACTTATTTCAAGCAAGAAATACAAAATTGAAAAGACTAATATCATGTTGCATAAGTAACTGCAGATTTTCTCATGCATACCCTTGAATATTGTCCCCTCACGGCCATCTTTCTTGGTCCTTGGCTTCGGAATGCATTGAGATGGAGCATATTCCACCAGAACCTTAAACTGAGTACCTGCAGCATTATGATTGACAATGTAATTTATTTCAGCAGAAAAGATCACTAGTAAAAACAAATTAACCATTTAAACACAAGGGCTAAATTCCAAAATGATCCCCTGACAATTCCTATGTGGCCAAATTAGCCTCAACATATCATATTTCTCTTATTTAGTCCCTTAACTATAGATTGATCCAAAATTGGTTACTCATGGACTGAATTGGAATCAACATTTTATTATAACACAAGATTTTCCAAAAGATTTACTATATGAGGGTCAATCTACACATCGACTGCCACTTTTGGTAAATGTACCATTCGACTATTTGAAGAATACAGGGAAGACTTATGTATGTGCACACGCTCATTCACCAATATAAAAAAGACCCAATGTAGATATTAATGATTTAAAAGTTGGAAAATCTATTGATGGATGGATGTATGTTGAATGTGAACTTAGTGAGTTAAATGATATATGTTGTGATGCTTTACATTGTGACTTTTTTCTAATGATATATGAGGTTATCCATGCTACTATTGCTATGAAAATTTGTGATAAGTTAATTATTCTAAATTTCTAATGAAAGTACTTATGAGGTTAGAGATGCTCATATAAATATATTGGAATATGAGTACGAAATATTTCATGTAATTCCTTTCGAATCTATTTTTGAAATGTGCACTCACTCTATGAAGATCGTAAATACAATGTATTCTCTTGAAATAGTCTATCAGAAATTCAGAATCAAGATATAAAATACAAGATTCTAAGATGTCACCTAAAAGGATAGAATGTTAAGGTTACTATCATAAGTTAGGCAAAATAGTTATTTGCACATCAATTTAATCAGCTTCATGGATCTCTTATAATTACAAAACATATTAAAGCTTCAAGGGATGAAGATGAAAGCTCAACAAGGGATAAGGAAAAAAGAAAAATAATTGTTTGCGAGTTAATAAACCCAACACATTAGAAAGTTATGAAAATGAAGACAAGTTGTAATGCTCGCCGAAAGGATTAGATCATTATTGAGGATTAAATAATAATGGTATAACAAGTCAATGTTCCAAAAAATAAAAATTAGGAATGCTTCTACAACAGTAGAAATTATATGCTTCAACTATATAAGTCTAAGTATGTGAGATGGGACTATCCATAACTTTTAAGAGAGAAGAAAAAGTAGAAGAAGAAGAAACACTAAAAAAAGGAAAAAAAAAATACTTGGACAATATAGATTTTCCAAAGGTGACAACATTATGCATCCTACACATTTTAAATCACATGGTACTCTAAATAAATGTGAACAGAAATATATTTGGATTCTGAAATTAGTCATCTCACTTTTTTTTATGGGTTTCTTCATAACAAAGCTGGCAAAAGCACATTGTACTTGAATAGTATATTTTCAATGCATATGTTGTTGGAGATAAATCAAAATTCACATCCCTCAAATCAAGAGAAAGGATGTTAACTATTGAGACAGAGCTAAAAGAAAAATAAAATTATTGATATTGGACCAATTGGTAAGAATTCTATTACATTAGATAAAATTTAATTATTTATGCTTTAAAGCATAACTTCATTTACATCAGCCAATTTTTAGATAGAGGTTTAGAAATAACATTCATACATCACATTACATAATTAGAGAATATGAAAATATTATTCATAAATGCAAAAATATATATAGGATTGATCTTGAAATTTCTAATAATAACAATTGATGGTCTCATTTTTGAGTGAGCATGATAACATCATCATGTGCTTAGCCTTTTCCATTAGGATCTCTTCTTTAGTGTAAGGCCTCTATCATAGGACCCTATTAGCAAGATTCCTAAGGACTTAACATCGGCTAGTCATAAAATACCTAAAACTCTGGGGTACCCCACACCCTATATTAAACCCTTAAGACCCTTAAGCTGAGTCAACCCTAATTTGCCCGAAATAGTATCCATGATCCTTAGGGGTCTACCCTTAAACCTTCCTAAGTCCATTTAGAATCTTCTTACCTTTTATTAACTCATTTTATCGAAAATCCAAAATTCAAAGTACCTAGACTAGATAGGCCTTTGAGTTTAACTAGACCATTTATAGTCCTGTTAACCATGAACTTGCTGAAAAATCATGATTGAACCATGTGGTTAAGTAACATTTCTCGAATGCACTTGGGTCAAACCCAATCAAATAAAATCAAAACATCTCCAAGCTTTGCAAAACTCCTCCTAAGACCCTAGACTAACCCTCCTAAGTGACCTAAATAATTTAGGTTAGCCTACATGATCCTAATCCCTTGACACAACCCCATACAAACCTAATTCAATCTCTTAAGCCTAGGCTAGACTAATCCAAGACCTCAATTGGATTCCTCTGCCCTCCCTAGGTCTAAATCAACAGGCCAGCTAGCATCAGCTCAAGTGGTCAATACAAGGGTGGCTGACAACATAAAAAATCTCCAGTGCCCAAAACTACTTGCTCAGGCCACGCCCTGCCCTAAACACGGCCAAGCACATTTTTCCTTCACCCAACAACTGATCCCTAACAACCCTGCCAACTGGCATCACTGACGATGGTCTCATTGATGCATCCACATTTTTCCTGTAAATAGGCCGAACTTGGGTTGAAATTGGTGTGCAATAAGAACTCTTTTAGCTTCCCAAGTGTGTGCTCAAGTATTCCCAAGCTTCTCTCTCCCTCAGCTCCCTCTATGAGTGCAAGAAGATCAAGCTACGACGAAGCCTTGACGGTGAAACCACATTGGCTGATCCAGACACTATCACTCAAAGCTTCCTTTAGTGGAATTGGTTGATGAGGTCGAGCAAAGCAGCTACAACCATTATTTGCATCTTAAGCTCTTTAAAACCAGGCATGCCAACATTTTCTTTATCCAAAAAATCAATTTTTTTACACATTTTGATGCCAACGCATATCACATGAAGATGAGAAGATCTAATCGTTGGATTTTTTCTTAACATCCTCGTGATCTTTCTCGGTCCATTAGATTGGGAAAATCATTATTGAATGTGTTAGATCAAGGATATGTTGGTCAAGGGCGAATGTTGATGGTTGGAGGTAGAAGATTAGGCGATCATCATCCATTCTAATAAAATAAAATGGATAGTAATGATCTCACTGCATTATATGCCAATATATTTCCCTATTAAGTTGTGGTTCAATCTACACATTTTGATCTAAGATCAAAAAATCCAAATTGATCCTGAAGTAATTTGTTTAGAAAAATACTAATTCTGGGCTAGGGTAGAAAACTTATAGACTAAAATCTTATAAAATTCATAAGTAATTTAAAAGAAATCATTAAAATATGAAATAAATTGCACTAAGACCCTAATGAATCATAGAATCCATGAAAAATTATTCCAAATTATTTTAGAATAAAAAATAGCTTTTCCTAATTTTTTTAATACTAATTCATTTTTTTCAGAAAGTGGTGGGAGATCGTTGATTATCTTATTGGATTTTTGGTTTTTTGTATCAGGACAGCAGAGGACTGAAGTGGCTCTTCTATTTCGGAGTTAGATAAGGTAAATGAGAAGCAGCTTCACTTATACTTCTAGCTATCAGAAGTTCAACTGATTGTTGTAATACTTTAATTTGCTATTTGCACATTGAACTGATTGTTTATTTGCTGAAATATTTGTCAATGTTCTTGAATTATTTTTCTATATTTAATCACCTATCCCCACATTTAGTTTTCCTTGTCTGAAAACTATTATTTATATTCGGATTTTCTCTTCATTTTTACTTTTCTTGGGTATTTTATCTTTTCATCTATCAAGTTAATTATCTTAATGGCTAGAGTTTGGTTGGCCGTTGCCACCCGTGGCATCTTCTGTAGAAGTATATCTAAAGATATTTTGGTTTTTGATATTTCTCTATTTGATTAAGAGCTTTATTTGGTATTCGTAATTCAACTTTACATGCTTTGCATGTTAACCTTCTCCTCCTGTTATTTTTCTTCTTCTCTTTGTCGGTTGTGCTTTATTTAAATCTTAATAAAAATTTCAGTTTTTATTTTTATTTTAAATGATGATTCTGACAATAATTTTAAAACCTTTATAAACTAAATTAATTGAGCAAGTATACAGGGGCAGAACCGGCTTGATTCTTAGGAGGGGCAAATTTATAAATAACACATATACACAATGTGTTTAATTCTGCTAGGGGGCAATCACCTAAAGATAATAGTATTTTAATTTTTTTAGAGGAGCCAATTACATAAAGCGTAAAAAATGGGTGGATGGGATAAATTACCTAAATATCTATGTAATAAATAATTTTTTTATTTTTTTGGCGGGGGGTGGGGCAATTGCTCCCCCTCGGGGCTAAGTGGTTCCGCCCCAGCAAATATAGTTTTGTAATTATTATAGTGTTATAATTACTAATTATTTTCTTGGGTATTTTATCTTTTCATCTATCAAGTTAATTATCTTAATGGCTAGAGTTTGGTTGGCTGTTGCCACCCGTGGCATCTTCTGTAGTTTTGCTCCCCCTCGGAGCTAAGTGGTTCCGCCCTCGGGGCTAAGTGGTTCCGCCCCGAGGAAGTATAGTTTTGTAATTATTATAGTATTATAATTACTAATTATTGTGTTAGTCTATCAAAACGTTGATTTAGAAAGCAGCAAAGTCTTACGGAGAGGATGTTTCAAGGTGCTTTGAAAAAAAAAGGCTATTTTGAATTATATATTTCTTGCATCTTAAAATATTGCTATATCAGTAATATGACAGGTTATGAAGTTATTGAAATGAATATTGTTTCATTTGAACACACTTCCTCTTTCTCTCTCTCTCTCTCTCTCTCTCTCTCTCTATCTTTGTTTTGCTTGTCACATCCTGCCACGGCATTGGGAGCTGCTAGCTTGTTATGGCTTTGAACTCTCTCTCTCTCTCTCCATATATATATATCTATATATATATATATCTTCATTTTGTTTGTTGCATGCTGCTACGGCTTTGGGTGCTACTACATACTTATTTGTTCTCATATGTTGTTATTGTT